TTGCTGCAAAGTCTCCTTTGGCTTTGCTGCTGGTGGCTCCACTCAGCCAGTGCCCCATGCCTCCAGGACTCTGCATCCTTTTGCTCTGTGCGTGTTCCTCCTCACCAGCCAGTGGGGGTGGGGTGGTGGTGAGGAGCTGTCAGCAGGCACTCTGGCTGCCACAGCTGAGCCCTCTCTCTCCTTCAGACTGCACATTCATGTGCTCTCCATCTCAGATCTCTTTACCTTTCTCTGCCCTGCTGCCAATATCTCCATCCAGTCAGCATGACCTCTCACCTGATCATCCCCAGCCTGTGCCACCTTCCCATCCATTGTCCACACTGAACCAGAGAGCTCTTTGACATTGCAAACTGTCACCCCCTCATTGAAGCTCTTTGTGATCTTCTGTTGCTCTCAGTACAGGATCCAAACTGCCCAGCACGGTGTTCCAGGCTCCTTGTGATCTGGTGCCTGCTTACTTGCCCAGTTTCGTCTTTTTCCGACTTTCTACTTCCCACACCCCCTTCCTTTTGCCACAATGCTTCACCTTACCACCCACCCACCCTTCATCAGTCATACTACAATACTTGTGTTTCTGTATTTATACCGTTTTCTCTTTCGCTTTGGCCTTGGTACTTGGAAAATGCCCAGTGTCCTTCCTTCTTCCACCCCGTACAACCTTGGGCTGGATGACTAGTCTCCTTTAGGATGAAAGCTTAAACATCACCTCCTCTGAGAAGTCTTCAGGGTTAGCACCCCCTTCTGATTTGTTATGGCTGAGTAGTGGGTTGCTCCCTGCCAATTCCCACTCCCGGAAGCACTGTGTTTCTTACTCCCTCTTCTGCAGTCTAACCCAGTGCCCTCCTCTTAACTAAGCCCTTACTAAACATTTGGTGGCACAATGGACCAAGTGTACCTGGCCCAGGGAAGTGTGCAGGGCCAACACCAGGTGGCGCTGCGGCCACGTGCATCAGGAGGGATCCTGACGTTGCCCTGGCAAGGCTGGGCCTCCTCTGTTGTCCCCATGCCTGCTTTTCGAGGCTCCGGAAGGGTCTCCTGCAGTCAGGGACACACTTTGTGCCACGCTGTGATGTTGGTGACACACGTTTGGGGACAGACTCTGGCCCAGGCCTATGGAAGCCCTGAGTGTCTCTCTTCTTCCCCAAGACCCTCCCCGATCCGCGCCTTCTTTGAAAGCCCCCAGTTCTTACCAAACCTGTTTCCTGCCTTGCTTAACTACGTGACTTCAGTACTCAAATTTAGGATTCTGTGCTATTCAAGGGCTTGCTTGTCAGAGTAATCCTTCCTTTACAGCACTGGTGCCCCGAAAACAGCACACAAAGCCTATTAACTGTCCATGAAATGTGTAAATAAATGATGAAAGAGAATGCTTAACATGGGTATTTCAAGTATGATGGCAGGAGAGAATTTGTGGGTTTTTTTTTTCCTGAATATATCAAATTCGACTCCAGAGGTAACTGTTAGTATGGTCACTGTGTCCAGTTAGGCACAGGAGATAGAAACAGCAGGGTGTTTTCCTGGACTCTACCCTGCTCTCCTATGAGTGGGTTCCATCAAACTGTTCTTTGAGGTTCTTTTATATTATTTCACAAAGGTGGTGAAGTTGAAAGAGGTCTGCATGAAAGTCAGAAGATCTACGTTTGGGTATGAGCCAACACTTTGGGCCAAGTTACTTTACCAGCCGGCGCCTTAGTTCCCTAGTCTGCTGACAGAGGTCAGGACCCGGGGCCGTCACTCAGGGTCTCGCATGGTGTGTGAATTCCTGGGAGCCACACCGACTGCTCCCCACTTGCTTTATCTGTGAAATAGAAATCATAGTTATGATTAGCTAATAGGGTTTTTTTTAATTGAGATAAAATTTACATAACATGAGATTAGTCATTTAAAAATATACTGTACATTCATAATGCTGTGCAACCACCACCCATCTTGAGTCCCAAAACATTAAAGCCCATACCTATTAAGCAGTCACTCCCCATTGCCGCCTTCCCCCAGGCCTTGGCCGTGACCAGGCGGTGTTGTCTCTACGTATTTGACTATTCTGGATATTTCAAATGAATGGAATCGTACAACCGTGTGACATTTTGTATCTGGCTTCTTTCACTTAGTGTGCTGTTTTTGACATCCCCCCACATTGTAGCACGTGTCAGTACCTCATTCCTTTTTATAACTGAATAATATTCTGTGGTATGCTTTTACTCTCTTGCCTTTGTACGTAGTCTCTTCTCTCATTAGTGGCTTTGTCCCACTCTCTGCCTGTCAAATTGCTATTCACCCCCTGATGCCCACATCTCAGGCTACTTCCCCAATTCCTGTGGCTCTCTGTTTAGGCATTAATATTGTACTTTTCTCACTGTTCCATAATAATCCATGTGTACCTCCCTTTCTCTACCCACTAGGGAAGTCTGGACTCCCTAGGAACAGGGACAGAACTTTGTTCATCTTCAGGTTCGTAGCACCTAGCAGACCTGACCAACACTACCCAACAAATATCTGTTGAATTAGTGAGTGAGGAGATTCTTCTCACATTTGTCAAGTTTACACTTATTACACAAAAGGAGTAGGCAGTAGTGTGGAAACAGCTCAGGATAATGCACTGTTACTATGATCCTAAATCTGGGGTCATGTAGAAATAGTGCATTTGAAACTTGGTGGCCTGGGACAAGTTGAACCACCTTTTGTTCATCTGTTTGTTTGTGGATGGACATTTGGGTTGTTTCTACCTTTTGGCTATTGTGAATAATGCTGCTGTGAATATGACGTATGTGTATTTGTTTGAGTTTCTGTTTTCAATTCAGCTCCTAGGGTTTTCATGAGGACTGAGCACATGCTTATCACATGGTGGGGGCAGAATAAATGTTAGGATTGATGTTATTAATTTTATCTTGAAGTTGTGTAAATAGGGCCCCACGTGGGTTCTTTCTCTTGCCGTCTCACACACATGGGAGCTGGATCTCGCTTTCTCCCACTACTGGTTTGTAGCCTGTATGTCTCTCCATTCCCCTCCTGCCTGCTGCCGTGGCTGGTGTGGCAAACCAGGGAGGGGAGGGGAGGGTGAAAGAGGCAGGGGAGAAGTAGTGGAAATGCAGAGGGGGAGGTGAGCGGCTGGGAACGACTGGACAGGTAGTACGGAGGAAGGGGCAGAGGCAGGAAGGACGCCAGGTCCGGAAAAAGCAGACCCTGAGGTGGGTCTAAGAATGAGGAGGGCACGGGGTTGCTGCTTTCCTGCTCCAGTGGAGGGAGGCGGGGTGAGGCTGGGGCCGGTGCCACCAGCAGCCTCTGGTCAGGACTAAGAGGTACCTCAGGAGAGGATGTGCAAGGGAGCAGGAGGTGGCTGGAGTGAACTGATGTTTTTGTACAGAAAGAGGAGATTCTGATAGTGTCTGGAGCACTCTGTGGGGGTGGCTTTAGGGCCAGAAGCTGGGAACAAGCTCCTGGGGTCGTCAGCTTGACATCAGGTGACAAAATAGTAACAAGAAAATGCAGGTTTGAGGAACACGAATGCTGCCAGGAAGGCAGTTGATTTGGGCTGTGGATGAGATTGTTGGAGTAGAGTCTGAACACTCGGGGTAAAAGCTCCTCAGGAGCTGAGAGGGAGGTCTCCAAACGTGTGGCGTGTGGTCATCTGGAATTCGGGCACACCTGTACCTCTGGTGCTGGAGGGAGCAAAGAAGGATCCGCATAGCTTTGGTCAGAGCAATTTCTTCTTAATGTGGAATAGAGAGTCCACGACCTAACAGGCAAAGGCCTCCTTCTTGCCCTGGTGTCCAAGAGAACTGAGAATAATTACTCACATTTGCTTTTATATAGTGTGAATTAGAATGCAGGTCTAGGCGGAGGGAACCCATAAGATGGCTCTTAGGAGGTGCTGTAGGAAATGAGGCAGTCAGGCACGCGCATCCCTGACTTACCTCTTCTGGTCTGTTTTCAATCTGAGCTTCCCTCCCTCCAAAGTTAACCAATATGATCTTTGTTGGGGAGAATTTATAGCTTGTATTGGAGAGGAACAGCTTTAGAGAGCGTTAATCTGAGAGTTGTCTTCTCTGATGACAAGAATCCCCTCCTAATGTGGCGCTCAGGAGAAATATCAGCACTTGGTCAGGGATGGGGGGATGGGGGGCCCTTAAGCCAAGGGCAGATCCATTCTAACACCATATTTCTGCATCTTGAATGCTGTTTGCATAGCCTTCAACCATCTTGCTCCCTCATTCACAATTCACATTAAAAAAAAGTAGTTTCTAGAGTCCCTCATTTACATTGGTCAGTGAGCTCGTAGATGATTAGTTGTTTTTGGAATAGGGAGGAACTTTCAGATCATTTAATCCAATCCTTCCATTTGACAGAGGAGGAGAAACCAGAGACCTTGAGATTTGCTCAGACATCCCTGGAGCCGCGTCTCCAGGCTCCCAGGCCAGTATGCTTTCTACTCTTGTGCAGGTTTTGAAAACTCCAGCCCCACTGCAGGAGTCTGTATGTGGCCAGGGACCTCTCAGGAGAGGATGCTTCACTGCACCCACTCTTCTCTTCCTGAATATTTAAATCACAAAAGGCAAACTGCAGAAAAATAAATATTATGTCTATTTGTCAGGAGACAGTGTCTATTTACCCTTTTCTGTCCTCAGAATCTAGGTGTTAATGGACACTAGTCTGTTAATCAAAACATGCTGGTTCCTGGCAGGGATCATTCAGTGTTGAGAATCTCAGTCAAGACAGAAACAATAATAGTTAATATTTAGACCAAAGACGAGAATATTAAATGTGGAGTCAAAGGGGAACATGTAGAATGCTAAATAAGAGAATAAAGCATATAGGGTTGACTCAAAAAGGAGAGTAAAGGGAAGTAAGACTTTTTATTTTATGGCAGGAGGAGGGTTTCAACTATATGAAAGTGTATCTAGGAAAAGCTGTTTATTTATAACTGTTGTCCAGGCTGGAGAAATCAGATGTTCTCTGGACTAAACAAGTAAGTAAGAAATATGCTGAGCACATAGTTGGTCTAAATGAAAGTTGGGAATTCTGAGAGGTTCGAGGCTGTTCCTTGGAGAGGCTGCTGTCACCCTGTAGGCCAGAAGCAGGTGAGAGGCCGAGCTCTGCTAATGTGCTGTGAACTCTTCTGTCAGATGGCGGGCACGGCACGTCATGACCGAGAGATGGCAATCCAGTCCAAGAGGAAGCTCACCACGGCCACCGATCCCATTGAAAGACTCCGACTGCAGTGCCTGGCCAGGGGCTCCGCAGGCATCAAAGGTCTTGGCAGGTAGGGTCCCGGCCATGGGGAGGAAGGACACTGCCAGGTGAGGCTAATACTGGCTGTGTGACCTTGACCGAGTCTTATTCTCCTAGGGTCTCAGTTCCCTATTTGTAAAATGTAGTTTGGAAGACTTGATCTCTGAAGCATCTTGTAACTGTTTTTGGTTCTTAGTCCCAGATTCAGCAAGGCTGTGTCTGAGATGAGAGCACAGCCCCTGGGACAACTTGAAGTGAAGAGAGAGGCGTGCCCAGGTCCCAGCGACACCCAGCAGGATGCGGAGAGGGACTCTGCTAGAAACTGACAATGGAAGCGAGCTTGGAAGAGGGAGGAAGTTGCTTTCAGGCAGTCACATCTTGCTGACCTCCACGGGGCACTGGAATTGCCTGTGGGATATTCACTGCCGGTGGGCTTCTCCCAACTCCATAGGACCTGTCCTCTGGCCCTCTGAGAGTGTGAGAAGTCCTCAGGACCAGGAAACCCAAGGAAAAAGAGATTGTAAGCCTCCAACTGGCAGGATCTCTTTTTAACAGACTGCATGGAATGCCTGCCATGGGCCAGGTGTTTGTATGTTTGTGGGTGAACAAGGCTTCTCCAGGCCCCAGGCAGGACTTAGACTAAGGAAATTGACTGTCACAAAAACCAGAATCTCTGTGGTGATGTTGTAGGTTAGAGAAATACAGGGCACCACAGCAGGGGCATCCGACCTCACATGTGGAGGTTATAGACAGTTTCACTTACAATGAGGAACTTACTGAGCATTGGGGACATCACTTTTAATAGTCTCAAATTCTCAGACTAAGCCTGGCTCTGTCAGAAGCCCAGGCTGTGGGTATGTGGACCCTGGTGGCCCAGGCAGTCACAGTCCAGTGAGAAGACTAGCCCATTTCTCTTCAATACTGTGTCACCCCAACCTACAACCTCCACGTCTTTCATCCTGGAGCCATGTTATTGTCCGTGGTGCAAATCCCTCAGGAACACTGCCCTCTGTCCCACTCACTGGCCCACTCAGTTGAGTCCTTCTTACTGCCTACCCACCCCCCAACCCCTCCTAGCCCTTCCAATGTGAGCCAGTCTATTGGCTCATCCTTGGCCTTTTGCTCCACTGTGTGCTCTGCCTTGGCCTCTTTACTAGTTTTTCCCCTTCCCTCAATCTTTCCTCAACTCAAGTGGAAGCTGCTCCCTAGTTTTCCTCTTCATGGGACCACAAAAGTAAAGTGCCATTTTCATCACATGATGTCAAGGATACATACTGTCAACATGATTTATCGGTATTGGTATTGACCTTGATCACCTGGCTGAGGTAGTGTTTGTCTGGCTTTTCCCATGTAAAGTTACCATTCCTCCCCAACCCCATTCCATACTGGACTGGAAGGAAGGAAGTCTCCATGCAAAGCCACGCTTAGGAAGTGGGGGGTATGCTTCCCTTCTTGAGGACAGAGCGTATGTGCATATTTATTTGGAATTCTACTCAAGGGAAATTTGTCTTTTCTAAATAATATTTATTTATTTATTTAATCATTTATTTAAACCCATATGGACTCATGGATATTTATTTTATACTTTGCGTTACAATTTAACACTATTTTATTGCTCAAACTCTAGAAAATTGAGCTTTAGAAGCTCTTTCAGTTGGCTCCTATGTCCCTTTGACATATCCCCATCATTGTTAAGTTTTTTTATTTGTTTGTTTTGAGTGTTTCCTTACTTTCTGTACAAGATACTCCAAGTTCATCCTGAGTATTTCGTGTCCCAGTCCTAGAATCAGACATTTCTCCAAGAAGCCCGATTCTTTTTATTGGATAATTGCATTAGAAATCAAGATCTAGGCTCTAGATGTACTTGTTGTTACGGTGTATTACTTCTAGGTTCTCTTAGCTGACAGAAGAAGAAAGTATATGTGTAAATATATGTACAATCTATAGATATCTTTATATGTAATCATCTGTGTTTATATTAAGCTAAGCATGAGTTCATACTAATGTCTCCAACTCTAGCCCATTACCACATGCATCCGACCATTTAGCCTCCTCCCCTGGCTTATCTATAAATTCCCATTTCAACAGTGATAAATCCGGCTCCCACCATCTGCCATCTATTTACTTAATTGTTCAATTCCAGTATACCTTATAGCAATGTCAGAATTGTTAACTCAAATCTCCATGGGAAATATTATTATCAACTAGAGTCCAGTGCTTATGTGCAGTTCCTTTTGCCTTTAGTCCTACAGACTCCCATCTCCACAGCTACTTAAGTCAGCACCTTCATACTCCATGGCTCCCCCCCACCCCCTTTCAGTGAGGTTGTTTCAAACTTTTGTAATACAGTTGAGTTCTCTTGTCACTGTGCATTCCTTCCTGGGATCCCCTGACCTCCTAAATAGTTATTTTAAAATTTGTATACATTAAATTTTATTCTTTGTAGTCTACAGTTCTATGGGCTTTAGCAAGTATATCATGTATCCACCATTATAGTTTGGGCTTTAGCACATATATCATGTATCCACCATCATAGAGAATAGTTTCACTGTCCTAAAAATTCCCTGTTGCTCCACCTATTCTCTTCCTTCCTTCCTTTTTCTTTTTATTGTATGTATAGTTTTGCCTTTTGCAGAATGTCATAGAATTAGAATCACATAGTACATTTTCTTTTAAGGTTTTCCTTTTATGAGATTCTGGGAAGAGGCTCTCCAATTTTGGAAGGAGAGTACAGACAAGAATCTAGGGCTTCTGTATTTTACTTTGAATAACGTTGAGAGTGGTTTATTTTTAAATCTTTGTGCTTACATCTTATTCTATGTTCTTTTCTTTCCTGTGTGTGTGTGTGTGTGTGTGTGTGTATGTGTGTGTGCATTTTCTTCAGAGTGTTTCGAATTATGGATGACAATAACAACCGGACCCTTGATTTCAAAGAATTTTTGAAAGGACTAAATGATTATGCTGTGGTCATGGAAAAGGAAGAGGCAGAAGAGCTCTTCCGGAGGTTTGATAAAGATGGAAATGGAACAATAGACTTCAATGAATTTCTTCTCACATTAAGAGTAAGTGGCCTCATGAATCAGTGTATCTTCTGAGTTTGGCTTTCACGTGGTTTGGGTTGGTTATTTTGAGGTTTTGTTTTCAGAAGTTGTTACTGTGCTGTGGAGGAGATGGGAAGGAGATTGATAACAGGTTTAGGGACTTTTTGGAGTAACCATAATGCATGTCATTTAACAGCACACAATTTCATACTACTGAGAGGAATCAGATATTTCATCATATATCTTATAAAAAAAAGCTCATTTGCTTGTGTTGTCTGTGTTTGTGTTTTTTTTTTCTATTTATCTAGCCTCCAATGTCTAGAGCCAGGAAAGAGGTAATTATGCAAGCTTTTAGGAAGTTAGACAAGACCGGAGATGGAGTTATAACGATTGAAGATCTTCGTGAAGTGTATAATGCGAAACACCATCCTAAGTACCAAAATGGAGAATGGACCGAAGAACAAGTATTCAGGAAGTTTCTGGATAACTTTGATTCACCCTATGACAAAGATGGATTGGTAAGTAAAAGAGCTTAATCTAAGTGAAGTTTCTTCTGTGGAATTTGTCATTGAAATTAGGAAATAGGTCCAAAGCCTTAAAAAGTACTTATAGCATATTCATTATAAATAGGAGTAAAATATCTCCTTAGAGACTATTTAGAAAGTTGGCAACTAAAGTGATGATATATGTGTGTGTGATATATGATATATATGTGATATATATATTGGTGAGAGGTCCACATATAGCTAAATACCCATCATCTGAAGAACACAATATTTTGATTTAACACTCCATTGCACGGTTACTTATGTTTACCATACTTAGCCAGCCATATTCCAATGAACTCAACTAGGGTAAAGCCTATTTAACTTCAAAATGAAACCATGATTTAATTTTTTGGAACATGATTCACAAGGTATTTCAAGATATTGAAGTGCTTTTCGCACTCATCCTTACAGTATCATTTGTTATCACACTTTGCTGTGTGGAAATGCCATTTAAGGGAAGCTTTCGGTAAAGGGAATGCCAGATAACAGAATTTACTTCGATTTTGTCTTGAGTAGGCTTGAGATTAACTTGCATTTCTAAACTATAGTGAACTTAAAAACACCTGATCTCCATTAATGGTATCTTCAAGTTATGAACACATAGCTTGGTAGGGTAAGGAATTACATCTCTGCAACTGTGATGTCTCCCCAGGCTGAGATGACAATGTCATCTGTCTTTTATCAACAGGCTTAAGTGGGCTTTTGAACTCAGAACCAGTTCTGGTCTTAGGTGTCCTAAAGGCCCTGATGATGGGGAAGGGAGTGTTCTACTTGGTCCACAGTCAGCACCAGCAGACGCCTGGGGAGGGTTACTGAGAACCCCTGTGTCACACAGGAAGGAGTAGTGGGGCACTGGGCAGGAAGAAAAGATATTAATGATAGGAATAGGAAGCAAGGCTCCCCCTTCTTAAGGGAGTTTCTCCCAACTTTTTCCATGAAACTTCATAGTGAGTCTAATTAGCAAGGGGTTAGGGGAGTAGTAAGGCAACCTTTCTTTCCTTCCTACTGACATTTTCCTGTTGGGGACAGAGAAATACCCTTCATTTTAGTTGAAGGATTAGAGAGGTGGATTAAAAAAAGGGCGGGGGGGGGGGGCTAGAGTCTCAGGGGAGCCTAATGCTTAGGGACAGAAGTAACAGAACCAAACCATATGTTTTCTTCCAACATTGCTGGTCTTTGATCTCTGAAATGGCAGTGGAAAAATAGTCAACTGCCATTTCCCCAAATTAGCCCGCCTCTACATGAGATCCCAGGGTGTACTTGCCTCCTCTCTGCAGGTGGTTCCTTCTCCTCGTTGCCAGGGGAAACCTCAGCTGCTCTTTTCTCTACCCCAAGTCAAAGTAGCCAGTTGTTATGGTTCAACTGATTTAAAGTTCCCACTTCTGTCCCTTTTGACATTTATTTTAACAAGCCATCTTAAGTTCTCAAATACTCATAAAGGTCATTGGGGTTTTTAGTAGTTACAGCATTTGCTATCACCTGACTATCACAGACACTGTGTTAATATCCAGCTGACGGTGCATGATCATCATCCAGGCTACGTATTAATAACGTACATTGCTGGCTGTACTGCAGAACTACAGAATCTGATTATTTTTGGGTGGGGATCAAGGATTTACAGTTTTAGTAAGTACCCCAGATGGCTCTTATTCACATTCATATTTGAGATCATTGTCTCTAAAAGATTCAGAAGTAATTTTTAATTACTACATATAATATGCAAATGAACCTCATTTGGCATAATTATGGAGCTGGATCATTTATTGACTACTTATCTACTGGATATAGTACTAAGGGTCTTAAAATACGTAATGAAAATATTTTTGGAAAGTGATGTGGAATTCAAACTTTTGTTCATTGAATCATATTTTAAACACACAAAGAACTATTGATGTAAACAAACTCCACGATAAATTCTTTTATAAAGAGAAGAATTAGTCCTTAAGTGAGATTTTCCAAATTGAGTTGTTTTATACATTAAGATTTCTTATGGTGAAGCATAGCTAGCTATGCTTGAAGCCAGTGCACTCATATATGGCTAAAAAATGTAGCGGATATCCAAATAAGACAGAATTTAGAATAAGCCAATAAATTTAGCATACTCATTATGATGCTGAAATTTGTGAACTTTTAATAGTTTGGGCTAAGTTCTCAGGTAGTCATAAAAACTCCCGAGTTTGTAGCAGTCATGGATTTTGATGTAATGGATCCTGTGTTAATAATCCTCACACCCCATCCTCAGAGCCCTCTGTACACCAGAAGCCATATGGATAGAGGTATGAAAGCAACCAAATCGTGTATGAAGTGAACCTTCCTCACTCTAATTCTATCCCTAAAACCCACCCTAGTTGGGTGAGATTTTCATTTCTTACTTTTTTATTTTTATTTTTCAATTTTTTAAAATGTTTATTTACTTTGACAGAGAGAGAAGGAGAGAGCGTGTGAGTAGGGGAGGGGCAGAGAGAGAAGAAGACAGAGAATTCCAACCACTGGCAGTGCAGAGCCCAACACGGGGCTCAAACTCACGAACTGTGAGATCATGACCTGAGTCAAAATCAAGAGTGAGACTCTTAACCCACTGTGCCACTGGGGTGCTCCACTTCTTCCTTTTTTTAATATCTAGGTTTGGAAGTTTTCATTTATATATGTTATTTTACAATTACAAATATATTTTTTAGATGTCAGAAGTAGATTAGCCTTTGAGCAAATATGGGTCTTACAGTCTTCTCTCATATAGAAATTTTTTAATAATTAAAAATATTTTAAATACATTACTGAGTGTATATAAATAACCTGAACTTATTTTATGATTTTTCTAATCAGTCTGAAACAGAGAAAAAGGTACTGTGTTCTGTACCATGACTCAAATATTTCCAATGCTCCCATTCAGGACCTTCTCCATTATATAACGAATATTCTGTCAATTCACGGTAGCATAGTCAAGAGGCTGATCAAAAGCAGAGGTGTCCATTCTCTCCATTTTACTAATGTCAAACAAAATAATTAAGTAGGAGTAGTTATTATGACTGAAAATTAATTTACTACAATGAGGGAAAACTTGGGGAAATTATAGGATTTGTCATTCAGGCTATTCTGAGTATAAATTGAGTCTCAGGAAACAAGCAGACACTTCACTAAGAATAATTGATGGCCTTTTCTGAAATGATCAAATATATTAGCTCTGATGTCTGGTTTTATGTAATCTGACTTCTGGAAGGTTTAATGCTGGATAACTGGGAAATGCAAAGGAGGACATACGTAAAGAAATTGAAGAAAGGAGAACACTAATGGTATTCTAATTTTAACAAAAGCTATGCACATATTTATTTCTACTTCCAGACCATCGAAAAGCCCAGCTCAACTATTAGTTCAGTCCAATGACTTTCTTCCTTCTGCTTTTTACTATTTTGTGGGTGGTGGGGCAGGGGGTGAGTACAGGGAGAGAAATTTCGTCCCCTGACTTTTTTTTTCTCTGTTCACTTATGATTACAGTAAAAAAGGCAAGTGGGTCGATCAGCTCATATGATTATTAGAAGACATAAGTAGGCACTCTGGAAGGGGGGTTTTGAATTATTTATGGATTTCACTTTTTGATGTTTTTAATCTTTCATGACATTTAAAATTGAGGGCTGACTAGGGGTGCCTCAGTGGCTCAGTTGGTTAAGGGGCCGACTTTGGCTCAGGTCATGATCTCAAGGCTTGTGAGTTTGAGCCCCGCATGGGGCTCTGTGCTGACAACTCAGAGCCTGGAGCCTGCTTTGCATTCTGTGTCTCCCTCTCTCTCTGCCCCTCCCCCTCTTGTGCACACGCGCGCGCTCTCTCTCTCTCAAAAATAAATAAACGTTAAAAAAATTTTTAATTGAGGGCTAACTAGAGAACAACAAATTTCCCAGCCATTGTTGTTCTGTCTGTGTCCTCCCATGGAAGCAGGGCTGTACTTTGGGTTACACTGATTGCTCACAGAGATCCTTCCAACAGGAAGACAATTCCTTCTCGGAGTCAACTAATCCTGTCAGCTACTATGGTTGAATTGCAGTGTACATATCACCGACAGCTATTAAAAAATAAGATCGATACCTGTTTCTTCTTTCTAGCAGTAAAGTGATATAAAATCTAGCCTGGAAAAACACATTGGTTGCTATACCAAAGAGACAGTTCTAAGAACAGGATGGAGAGAACCCAGGCCAGTGTGAGGGGGCATGGAGGAGGGGCGTCTTTTTTCACTCACTTTGTGCCTTGAATGAGGAATTTCTATCTTAAAAAAGCATGAGATTAAGGAGGACTTAACTATAAATCTATTTCTTTATCCACAGGACAGAATTCCACTTTCTAAAAGGTAACACATTACTTGCCTCGACCCCAGGGCAGGCTGTGTTGTTTCTGATGTGTCACAGAAAGCCTGTACTACCTACGGCTAAAGAAACTTGTTTCTTGCTCTGAATTTCAGTCTCACTGATCCGAACAGATGGGTTCCTGCTCTTAAAGAGAGGCGAGAACCTATGTTTCACTTTCCATTTACGTTGCTGTGGAAATTTTCAAGATTTTCTATTCATCTTCCCCTTGCCACCCATCAAGGCCATCCTCAGCTTGACTCTGCTCTTGTCTGAGATCTATTCTTGATCTGTGTCATTAAAAAGCTTCCTTGACCAAAGTTCCCCTCCCATTTACAGGTACTAGAAATATGCTTCCATTGAAGTGGTGGGAAGCAAAGTTATGTTTTTGTTTCTGACTTTTCCACTGCAGGTGACCCCCGAGGAGTTTATGAACTACTATGCAGGGGTGAGCGCATCCATTGACACTGATGTGTATTTCATCATCATGATGAGAACTGCCTGGAAGCTCTAAATGTAGGATCTGGGGACCAGGGCATTGGGTGCAGCCACATGGCTCCAAATGATTAAACATCAGCCCCAAACCAGGATCACATTTGATTTCATGTTCATCCCAGTGATTCTTCCCTATCAACACACATTGTATTTTCTAGGGCAGGCATGACACTATGTAGTTAACTGTGACTTAACTTCTCTGAAACTGTTTCCTTAGCTCTAATATAGGAATTAATTAAAATAAGATTTGGAAAGCTCTTAGAGCCAGGCTCTAGGATACATACATGTGTCTAATAAACATTAGGTGCCTTCCTTGGCGATTAATAAAAGTCTGAGTATTTTAATTATAATTCCCACCCACACACCCACAGTCTTTCTCCACATCCTTTTAGATGGTTTATTTCTAGGTGTGAGAATTCATCTGTTTTTATGACTGACTGTAAATTTTCTTTAAGTTTATTTATTTATTTGGCAAGAGAGAGACAGAGAGAGGGAGAGAGAGAGAGCTCACAAGCACACATGAATGGGGGAGGGGCAGAGAGAGACAGGGACAGAGAGACAATCCCAAGCAGACTCCATGCTATCATTGCAGAGGAGACAGATGAGGGGCTCAAACTCATGAACTGTGAGATCATGACCTGAGCTGAAACCAAGAGTCAGATGTCTAACTGACTGAGCCACCCAGGCACCCCCCTGACTTTAAGAGCTTCAGTTACAAATTGGGTACCAGAAGAGAACACACATTAGCCTCAATTTTTATACCTGAATCTTGAGTTTCTCTGCCCGTGGTTTAGGGAAGCCTTGGTGTGGTGAATAGATTAGAATGACATTTTTGGGTCATCTAAAGCTTCTGTGAGATGGGAGGCCATTTCCTTGAGCAGTAGAGCTAGGACCATCCCTGTGGTTAAAATTTGAGGCTGGGCTGTGCTCTCAGATTTTATGGGGGACCTCTTGTTTAGTGAGTGAGCAGATTGTATCATCAAACCTTTGTCCGGTGGAATGTTCACCATGGGCCTGCCATGGGCCAATGATGTTGACATTCCCACCATCACAAGAGGGTGGGGTATGACATAGACAAGGGTCACAGGCCTACTCCAAAGAGTGTGTTCCATCTTGACACTTTATGGCCCAAAGTATTCTCCTTCCAGCTCTAAGCTTTGGCTTTATATCGTCAATGTGCAAGAATCTCCCCATGAAAGACTTCGAAGCAAAGGCAGCTTCAGCTGTTAGGAAATAGATGTTGAAACTATCACTCTCCTTCTATGTGTTCTGTGTCTGGGGTCAGAGATAAAAACACAGTGGTCAGCCCTTTGGCTGTGATGCTGGAGGTAATAACCACCTGCCTTGTTATCAGGGCCATCCTTTTTTGTCTCCTCTGTCCCTGGCTGTACTCATCCCCTGGCTTGGGGGCATGCATTGGGATAATAGTTAAGATCCCATGTATTTAAGTGGCTCTAGAATTAGGGTCAAGCACACTTGCCATATTTTGTACTAATTCACTTGTTTACTTTTATCTCACAGACTTGGAAGTCTAGATCAAGATATACTTTGATTTAAAATTTGTGTTTAGAGCAGGTGTTTCCAGATGAGAATCATGGCAGTTTGCTTGTTGTCAAGAAGCCAAACTCCCACAGACTCTGACGACAGACTGGAAAAGTGACCTTTTTCTTGAGGATGGGAGCACCCCCAAATTTTGGGAAGCTAGTTTTTCAGAAATTAATTACACAAGTTTGCTTTTCCACTGGACTTATTTTCTAGGCTTATATAAAGATTGGAAGGCTGAAAGATGCCAAGTATTATGAAGAAATATGTAGAAATGAGGCAGAAATCCAGTAGAAATTGTGATGGGCTGTATCAGAAAAATATCCATGTTTTCTGTAACCTGTACTTTGCCAGTCATGGCTAAGGAGAGGTTCCTGGTTTCCTGGCCATGGGCAGTTTCAAGCCTACTGCTCTAGATAGATCTGTGTCTTTGATTCTAGGAATGACTCATACCTCTGCTTAACTGGGGACATAGAGTTAGCATGTGATTCTGAACAAGGACTAGGTCATAGCTATCAGCTTCGTCTCCCCCAGTCATATTTTTACTTCCTGTCTAAATGGGGCACAGGCCATTCTCTCAGATTTTAGATAACACGTGCCTCACAGTCTGTTTGGTCACATTCAGTTATCTCTCTTCTAGCAGGTCAGGTTGTGGGCCCAAAAGTGAGGATTCCCCCAAGGGCCTCTCCCCTACCCCCCTCCTCCCTCCACCCCTGTAAACAAGATCTAGCAAGTTGATCATCAAGGATCACTCCACTCCTATTTTGAGGCTTCTCTGTGATTTCTGGCCTAGTCAGAAATTTAACTCGATTATTATAAATTTAACTGTATTATAAATTTAACTCATCATTTAACTCTATTCCTTCTGGTAGCAGTGGGAGGAACAGAGAAGAGTCATTTAAGAAAAATCATTTGCTAATACTTTTCTGGATGTAGTTTTTGTTTATCTGACTTTCACAATTTAAATTTTACTCCATTTGCAAATTAAAAAGTAAGTACCGAGGTCAGAAGATAAAACACGATAAAAAAATCTCCAAAATAACCCGTAGGAGCACCTTACCTGTTGGGTCTGAACCCCAGAGAGCAAGTAAACATACAAGCCAAAGATAAGAGGGTGAATTTAGTAGCTTCTCCTGAAACAGAAACAGTGTATGTGAATATTCTGAGAATCGTAATTGCTCAGAATAAGCCACCAATATCAGTACTGTATCTGGATTCTAGCTCCCCCTAAAGGCAACCCTAGGGAGGAAAGGAGGGGTGACCCTAACTCAGGGGCTGGTTCACTCCTGCTTGAGTTCCCTTCACTCAGGTGACTCTCTTCAGGGGCTGGTTCACATCCTGCTTGAGTTCCCTTCAGAAGCACAGCTGAGTAACTCAAGAAACGTTGGTGTCGTAGTCTAGGGCAGAATTCCTCCTGTCATTCTGCACGGCTAATTTTCTGACATTCATAGCCATTCAAACCTTGATAGAATTTTTCTTCCCAGACCCAAATGGCTGATGTATGGCTGTTGGTTTGGTGGCAGCATGGAGTAACACTTCATACCCCAGTAGCAGCTTTCTAAGGCAGAGCTGCCCCCCCCCCCCCCAAGTAGGCTGTAGATTGGCTTTGTCACATCACAGTGTTAGAGTGAATACATCCCACTGGTAAATATGTATTGAGTCACTGCTATGTGCCCTGTTCTATTCTAGGCTGTGGGGATAGAGGAAGGAGCTAGAATGAATGTAAATAAAACCACTGGCTTTCAAACCAAACTAATAGCCCAGAGCTAAGATATCAGAGAGGAAACATAGGCACTGAAGCCAAGACAGTTGCAGCCCTTTATATGGCAGTGTGTTGCAGAGCATGTAGTAAATTTGTTGAATGTAGACAATCTATCAAGACAATGTCAGGAAAATACTCTTCTGTTCTTGGAAGCAGACCATTGTGTCTGCCTTTCACTTCTCTTGGCCAGTGTGGATTGCCTCACTGAGCCACAAGAGTACAAGCAGGTAGTGATTCAAGCCTCTTTAGGCACCCAACAGATGGAATTTGTTCTGCTGATGTTTAATCAAGTGGAGAGATGAAATTAACCAAATGCATTTTTGGCTGGTGTGTGGGTGCCTTTCTGCTCCCCTTTCATGAAATTCTACTAACACCTCTGAGCGCTATACCCTTTTGGATTTATGCACAACTCTCTGGGGCATAGAGAATCATGGCAGTTCCAATTTCTCACTTCAGTCCATAGAATGGCTTTCTTGGAAATTATGGGCTGTTCTTTTAAATCAAGAGCTTGTTGAAAGAAGCAGCAAAGTTTTACATTTCAGAAATGCTTATGATTCAAGGAAAAACAAAGGGGCCAAGGATCTGATAGGTTGTCATATAATGTTATCTTCATATAATTGATCTTTTTGAAAACCAATGTCTCTAAGCATGATCCTACTCTTCCAGGTCGCTGATGTGGAAACTATATAACCTTGATGGGGATAGCCAGTTCTTTTCTTCTCATAAAAAAGCTCACTAAATGAATCCTCTAAAATTATGTCTTGTAAAACAGATGACGGGTGAAATCTGTTGGAAGAAACATAAACAAATGATTGATGGGGGTTCTGAGAACACTGCTGTGTGAGAAGAGTTCTTTTGCCACCTCAGTTGGTGCGGTGAGAGGTTGTGGTGAAGCAGCTCTTCCTCTCTGAGAATAGCATGACCTTCTTGTTTTATTTTCACACCTGCTTCGCCAAAGCCAGTATCTTCCCTCAGCAGAATAGAGTGGAAGGTGCTCGTTAGGAGTGCAAGACACTGAAACTATGAGCCACCAACCATTAGCTGAGGTTTTGATAATGGACCTGGCAACTACCAGAAAGGTATATTGTATCAGGGAAAGAAAAATCTCCTAATGTAATGGTCTATTTTCTTTTGTTCTAGATTCTTCTTCCTCTTCATAAGTGGAATTTATTTATGGTTTCTCTGGAGTGTTACACAAATCCTAGCAGCCATTGAACACGGGTGATGCAATTTCTGTTTCACCAAAGTTCCTGTGAGCGCCGTGGGTTTCCTGTTCCCACTCTCACTCCCAACATGGGGTCAAGTGGCAGATAGCCAAGATATGCACAGGGTCATACCCATTACGCTGCCCATGTAACTATCATTCATCTCCAGTTTCATTCTGCTCTAGGTCCCATAATAAATTTAAGATGGACCCTGTGACTCAGAGCTCAAGCACCTGAAATTTGAAGCCAGACCTGAGTATGTAGCTTGTAATCCTGTCATGAAAGACTTGAGTTACTTTTTCTTTTTTCTTTTTTTTTTTTTTTTTACCAACCTTAAAATTTGGCGCTCAGACACTGGTATTGATTCTGGGAACATCTCCATCTTCAATTTGAAAGGTTTGAGTTGCTTGTCTCCTAGAAACACTTAGGCTACATGCGGAACTGATGACAATCAGTGCTCAGAGAGAGCCTTAGAGCAGGAAAGGAACCCATAATTGAGAGAAAATGACAGATGGCAGGGTAGTTTGCTCTTGCCACGGTTATAGGGAGCCCCAAAAAACTTCCGTCTTGATGGGATAAAGTGCAACAGAAATGCAGGGCATTACCAAACGTCAGGCACTGACTTAATGAGACCCAGATCATTCTTTTAGTTTCCAAGGGGGACTGGAAATTAAATTCTGTTCCACAGATTGCATACTTAGTCATGCCTCAAATCTCATTTAGCAATATCATTCAGCATTCATTTATTTAAGATTATCTTTGAAGCTGCACAGTAAATACCATAAATCACCATTAATTTAACTGTGCTAATTGAGTTCATTTAGATAGGGTTTGAATGAAAATTTACTTTTGTTTCATCTATACTAAAGAGAATGAGCAGGTCAGTATATAAAGATTATAGGAGGGGCGCCTGTGTGGCGCAGTCGGTTAAGCGTCCAACTTCAGCCAGGTCATGATCTTGCGGTCCGTGAGTTCGAGCCCCGCGTCGGGCTCTGGGCTGATGGCTCAGAGCCTGGAGCCTGTTTCCGATTCTGTGTCTTCCTCTCTCTCTGCCCCTCCCCCGTTCATGCTCTGTCTCTCTCTGTCCCAAAAATAAATAAACGTTGAAAAAAAAAATTTAAAAAATAAAAAATAAAAAAAAAAGATTATAGGAGCTGTGCCTACCTACGTTCATGTGTGTTTTATAGGTACTTGGAGATATCTATTTGCATATGAATGCCATTAGTAGACTAGTCCTAAAAAGTTCCCACATATCTCAAAACCGTCCTAGGCCAATTGTTTGATGGCAAAGCTTTATTTATGCAACTGTACGTAACACAAACTATTTTCTAGATATTGAGGCATTCCTATATGTAAAACCTATCCTGATTGTATTTTAAATAGAAATTGAAGCTGAAAAAACAATGTTTTATAAGGCACAATTTCCATGACATTTATGCTATAAATTTTAAAATATTTTGTTTAAAAAGTTATACATGCTTATAGTAGTAAGCTACATATGCATTGAAAGTAAGAATTTGTCATAAAAGCAATAGTTAGGATATTACTTCAAGGAACCAGAAATTGAGAAGTTTTTGAGTTACAAAATTAGATATGGTTTAAATATATAATACCAACTTTGTCATTGTTATTTTATCATACCGTGCCTTGCCATTAACATGATTCTGATTTAATAGAATTTCTTCAATTTAAGGCTGGAAAACATTAACGACCCTTGTACTAAAAGAGTTCATCTAGTTTTTATTTCTGTTTTAAGGTCTTTCTAAAATCTATTTCTTCTTAATTAGCTAACATGTTACATATCATGCTTCTTTAAAAGTTTACTTCCTAGATGGTGCTTTTGGATCATTTAAAAATGTTACGTGTGTGATATTTCAGTTTCAGGTTATGGAATGTATTCTTTGAAAATGATAAGGCCCTGTTCAAACTGTACTTGCTCATGTTTTTAAAAGAACAAAATGTAATCCACCTCCCCCCCAAAAAAACCCCACATTATTTTGACAGCCAAGAATGAGAGTTTGAAAATTATATGTTAACATTCATTTTCTTGCAGGCTTGGACTACTTCTGTCTAGTGGGCCAAGCAAGTTCCCACAATGCTCAGCCTCTGAGTGGTGCCCCTAGGACTGTGGGCAATAGAATTATTCTATGCGTTGGTATTGAGGAATGGGGGTGGTTAAGAGGGATGAGAGAGAAATGGAACCTAGGGGCTGATTCCTGCTCTTTTACTTTCTCGTTTCCCATTGTAGGAGGCACAGGGCCAACTATGAAATGCTAACATGTATCCTGACCAAATTGAGAAATTGGCCTTCTAGCACTTCTTATATGGCTAGTTCCTTGCCCTCTGCTATTGAACACCAGGCATCATGGATTCCTGGGTGACCAAGGATCCTGGAAAGTGCCCCCACTCTCTAGTTCTATCCTTACTTATGTGATCAGTCTAAACTTTCCCTAAAGAGCTTTTTATCTGTGCATTTATGCTGTAAATTTCTCTATCCTAATGTACTAATAATAATCACAGGTGCAATCATCCAAAGGATGCTCTAAAGTAGTGCTTTCTCATAGAAACTTTTGTGATGATGGAAATATTCTACATCTGTGCTCTCCAAGATGTCAGCCACTAGCCACATATGGCTACTGAGCAGTTTAAATGTGGCTAGTTCAACTGAGGAATTCAATTTTTCATTATGTTTAATTTTAACTAATTTAAATTTAAAAAGCCATATGTGACTAGTGGCTACTGGATAGCACAGTTCTAAACATTTTTTATCTTAATGCAAAAAAAAAAAAAAAAAAAACAATGGCCAGTGGGCTGGCAAATCTTGCAAATGCCCCACCTTAGAGGGGAAAGGAAAACCAGGTACCCTGATCCCCAATTACCTGAGTTTCTTGATTGTCAATGGCAATTCAGACTCAATAGAAAACATTTCAGGGAGAATGTAAAATGCTCTACTAAGATTCACATGTTTTGACACCATTTCCTTCTTTTCCCCTTGCTTTATCCCCCGCCCCCAACCAGGTTTCAAAAGAAGAATTTTTGAACTATTACGCTGGTGTTAGTGCTTCTATTGACACCGACGCCTATTTCATTTTAATGATGACAAAATCATGGAGATTATGACACTGTCTATTAATTCTTTTGGAAATCATGGACTCTCAGAGAGTGGAATGACTTTGAAAGAAGTCCATTGCTATAGATTTTTGATAAGATATAAACTGAAGTTTCTGAAAAAGCTAGCCTATGAAAAGCAATAGATCTTCAGTCATCTTAATTGCCTGGAACATATCCATATTCTTAAATGCCTAGGATATATATTTAAATCAGAAAGAAAGGAAGAACAGAAGGAAGAAAGGAAGCCATGGAGTGAGGCTGGAAAGTGGTTCTTAGCTGAAATCATGTATTTCTTGTTATAGTTGTTTCTCTTATAGGTGTACATGTAGGTGGTTCCCCAACTTTCACTTATTTGTTGTCTTTGGAGTCTTTAGCAGGAGGTGATGATAAAAGGATTGGAGGAACATCTGACTGTGTAAAATATCCTGAGCTTACTTATTTTAATGTGTCTCTTGGTGAATGCAAATAAAATTTATTTTATTCTGAAATTTAGTGGCTTTTTTACCCCCCTATTTTCATATTTTGATCCAGGGATTTAAAGTTAGCAAATTCCCACACATGAATGAACGGGGACATAAGTGATTCTGGGGACAAAAGGAGGGTGAGCTCAGCTGGCCCTCTTAGTTGAAGTCTGGGTTTTCATGGAGTGGGATCACTTCCTGGGTTGGCCTATTAGGATGAAAAGCAGTGCACAGGGAAATCGATGGGCTTATAAGAAGCCTTGGATACTTTCTGGAGCTTTAAGGTAAATTGATGAGGAGGACTTTGAAAATGTTTTGGGAATTCATCTTTGGAACCTACATTTAGGCTCCTTCACAAGGCAGGTGATAGATACCAGGTTTCCGGACCCATTTCTCTTCCTCTAATATCTGCTTCTCAGGAAACAAAAGTGGCTGGGAATTGATTACTCATATAACCACAGGCTCTTCACCTTGAAAAGATGAAGAAATGAAGTGGGAGAGGAGAGGAAAGGCTGATGCTGTGCTTCTCAAACTTAAAAAAAAATTTTTTTTTAAATACTTATTTATTTTGGGAGAAAGAGAGAGTGCAAGTGGGGGAGGGAGAGAGAGAGAGAGGGAGAGAAAGAATCCTAAGCAGGCTCTGCCCTGTCAGTACAGAGACCAACATAGGGCTCAAACTCACAAACCATGAGGTCACTACCTAAGCCTAAACCAAGAGTCAGACACTCAACCAACTGACTACCCAGGTGCCCCACTTCTCGAACTTTAATGAGTACCCAAATCACCAGAGACTCTTGTTAAAATGCTGATGCTATTTCAGAAGGCTGGATTGGGGTTCAAACTTTAACTTGTTAACAAGCTTCTCTGTGATATTGATGCCTCTGGTTTTCAGGTAACACTTCAAGTTACAATGGATAGAGATACCAGCCTGTATATTTCCAGTACTTATGGTTTATTTTTCCATCTCTAGTTGGCCATCATAATTTGTGATTTTTGACTGCTGAGCCATCCTTTCTTTGTCTTGAAGTTCTGAAAATATGAAGGAAGCATCAAGAAAATGTATGTGCCTCGCAGGCATGTGTAGGAGAGAAATAGCACTTCCAAGAGACCTCGTGTGGTGACATTCTAATTGGAGAATTTCTCACAGCCCAGGGCTGAGTCCCACAGCCTTCCAGCTTCGAGCATCTGAATGTGTCAGTCCACCGAGAGTAGGTCGTTGCTCAAGAGGGACTACACTGAGCAAGCTCATAGCAATCGTTGCTAAAACTGGAATGCCAAGCCATTCAACTACTATGGCATGTTAGGGTAATGTTTGATGTGGGAAACAAACCCTAAAATTTATAAAAGTTCAAACAATGGATATTTAGTTTTCATTCATGAAGCAGTATTATGTACCAGCTGTTTGTGGTCGATGAACAGCTTTCCTCTGTGTAGTGATTCTGGGTTGCAAGATTCCTCCATTTTGTAGTTCGGCTGTTTTTCCAGGGTTTTGTAGTCAATGATATTCATGTGCCTGAAGAACAAGAGTGTATAGAGGAGACTGAACAACTCTCTGAAAAGCTGTGGTCTGGAAGGGACACCCTCTCTTCTGCTGGCATTTCATTTCATGATAACTAGTCACATGATTACATAGAATGCAGGGGAGGCTGGGAAGCGTAGTCCTGGTCAGGGAATCTCCTTGCTGGTGAAAATATATCTAACATAAGGTCAATACAAATTTTAGTGGACTACTAGCTGTCTCTGCCACTTAAAACAGCAGTCCCCATTGCCTTCCATTTTCTTAGGGAGGCATGCTTGGTGGTCTCAGTAACCCATGTGGAGTAAGGTATTTTCCAGGTTGAAGGAGTATGGAATGGAGGTCTTTCTATCTTTAACCATGTTAACAACCAAGAAAACAACTTCTACAACCGTATCTGGTAATGATTTCCCACTTAGCGAGTCTTGTCACTTGGGCTTTTATGGCTCTATTCCTGACCTTGAAATTCGTGCTAAGACAACACTGAGGCAATTTTCTTGTTTCATATTGGAGGGGAAAATTAAATCGTAAGAGAATGATCTTATCTGTAGATAAATCAGCAGAATAATCATCTTGATTTAATAAATCATGGGAAGGTTTTGGGGTTTGCAAGTATTATATATTGATAATTAAAGTGGACTGTTATTACAGATAGAAATTGTAGGGAACAGTTTTAGAATCAAGTAGAGTTAAAAATCAGGATATCATTAGGATATTAGCCCTAACATATAATACCAGCTGCTAAAAATGGTAGGAGGGGAGATCTTACTTTTTTTGGTTGCAGGAGTTCAGGTAGTAGACGTTTGCACA